ATCGGCAGCAGCAAGAAAGTCTCTCAGCCCAGAGACGATTAAAATGCCTCGGCGACTCGGTGACTCCTCGGAGAGACACCGCCACACCAACCCTGGCATCGCCAAGAGGGTGCAAGACCACCTGGGTAGGCAGGAACGCAGGGTTGGAAAGAGAAGGTCTTGGGGTGGGGACAAACCTCCACTGCTCAGAGCGGAGCTGACCTTTTACACACATTTGTCTGACGTGTCCGAGAAGATGACTCGACACCGGTTCTTTGTCCACCTCTCAGTCCCTGCGATGGCAGCCGGGAGGGTAACTGGGCCGCCCAGGCCCCATCCTTAGACAACTGGATCTCTTGGCTGTCGGGAGGTAGCAGCCACTGTTGGGCAGCGAGCGCAGCCTGAGGCTAAGCTCCTCGCCCTCGCCTCCCTCCCAGCCAGGTGTGGTTCCTGCCGGGGAGGTGAGCTCCCGGGAGCCCCAAATCCTGTGGCTTCTTTTAAAGCTCCCTTCTAATTAGAAGCAGCGGTGAAATCACTTGAGCGATTTTATCTGTCATGGGAAAGCAAACCCCAGCCCAAACCTCAGTTGCCCATCCCAGAACCATCAACGCCCCCGTTCTTCTTCGGTTAAAAAGTTTGTAGTGGAAAAGATAAAGAGCCGGGAAGCAACAGAGGAGTGGGGGAGGGGCGGGAATCGTGACAGTAGGAAAAGAGGGTGAACCTTAAATAGAAGTATGCGTGTAAGAGTGTGCAGTTGTGTGCGTGTGTTGGGCTCTCCGCGGTGGAAGGAGACCAAACCGAGAAGCCAGAAGTGAACCTCTTCACCTACTGAAAAACACTTTGATCTGGGATCCGACGCGGAAGCAGCCCTGGGGGTTGCAGACTCGGATCCGCGAGGCCCGGGACTGCCTTGAATCTCGTGGGCCGGCGGGAAGGGCAGGAGGGGGATCTGTCCCCACTGCGGGCATCCAGGTGCGCGGGACCTATCCAGACTGGCCCTATCTTCGGGCCTTGCACTCCTCCTCCCACCCATCTCCGGGTGGAGACTCCCGGCAACAAAGTTTCGAGGGGGAGGAGAGGCATGGGAAGACTGTGTAGATGCCCCCAGTGCTTGAGTGTGAAAACAGCCTCTCACACTTGCAGCGCGCCTGGTGCACCCTGGCAGGCCGTCTGCCTCGGTTCCCAGGTCAGAGACTGACCGGGAAAGCGGGTTGGGGCTGTTGGGAAAAGCTGGAGTTGATGACGAGATTGCCGTGGCTATAAATCCATCACTTCCCAGTTCAGCTCCGCGAGGCGCAGGGACTGGGGCTGGCGGAGTGAATTCCTGGGCTAGCGCGCATGCGTCGGCAGGTAGCAACCCAGCTCTTTATGACCAGGTGAGATGTTGGTGAGCAGGTAAAAAAAGGAGGATTTGCCTAAGCGATTCCAGGGAGCGGGCCCAGTCGAGCCCTACAGCCCATGCCCGGCGGGGACCCGTCGCCAGGAGCGCCGAGACGCGATGTCCATACTTGCCAAAATGGGGGACTGGCAGGTACGGGGGTTTGCCGGGGCTGGGGCCGAGGTGGGCGGGGGTGGGACAGGGGAGGGTGCCGGGAGGGGGAGGCGGAGAGGAAGAGCCTTGGCCCAGGGCAGGAGAGTCGTAGGTGAGGCGCGCCCGGCTGCGCCCCGAAGAGCTCCTAGGAGAGAGAGAGGACAGGAGGACGCGCCGGCGGCGGCCGAGGCGCCGGGGGCTACGCGCTGCCCGCGGGCTGGGCGCTGGGGAAGGTCCGGCACGCTCCCACGGTGGCCCCCGGGGGAGAGGTCACTTGTAGTTAGTAATGCAGCCACCTCCCCACCCCCCTCAGTAGAAACGGGGCTGGATGACTAATTCAGGAGGAGGGAGGGTGCAGGGCGGGGGTTGTGGTGCGCCATGAGGAGGCTTCCCTGCTCGCTACGTCTTCGATCTTGTCCCAGACCCCAGGGCTGCGCGTGAAGAGGGGTCCTGGTGCACCTGTCTCTCCGCGTGTCTCCACGTTGTGGGGACCTAGGGGATGTAGCGAAGGGGAAGGGGTCCAGGTGGAAGAAGGGTCGCGGGGCGAGCGTGTTCTTTGGGGAAATACTTCAAAGAGTTTGCGCTAAGTTTAGCTTCTCACTCAGTCCGCTTCCTGAAGCCAGTTTTCGCTTCTTGGGCTCCTGATGGGGAGACTGGATGCGGGTGTGTGTGAATGGTGGGCGATGAGGCAGAAGATCTAAAATTTTCCGAAATCAACGCCTCCGGCGCCGGAAGGCCAGCTAGGCTCCGGGTCCTGCCCGCCCCGAGCCACGACCTGACCCGGCGTCCGGAGCATTCGTCCAGAGTTGTCCTGACTTCCCGGCGTGTTCCCTGTGGGAACCAGGGCGGCTCTGGCCAGATTGGTGAGGGCAGCAGCCTCTCTGCTGTCTCCGATTTCATAATGGGAACCCCAGGGCCCTTTTTTTCTGCCCCTGCAAAGCAAGGCCTGGTTAGGGCGAGGCTCCATGTGCCTAAAAGTTTGCGGGTCCATTGGAACCAAACGCCCTGATCGTCCCAAAGAAAAGGCGAGGCCTACTCCTTGCGGGTCGAGTTCTTTCACTTGTTTCACATTTGGGCCAATAAAAGTTCAGAGAAGTCCTGTCTTCACTACATTCATTGGAGTTTGGGGAAAGGAAGTCATCTCTCAATACTAATTTATTTCCGTACACTTTTTTTAAAAAAAAATCAACCGTGAGCTCTTATACCTCTCCCCACCAGGTAAATCTCACTAAATAAAATGTCATCCCCAAAGTTAGACTAACTTTGTGGTTTAGAGATGCAAATCTCACACCAAATACAAATCCTGGGGTAGCACACCTTTCTTTCCCTTGTGCCTGTGGGCCTCAGGGCTCTGCTTCACTCTCTTCTCTGGGGGGTGAAGATTAGGGAAGTTCTTTGGCAGAGGTGTTTAGGTTTCCTCCTCAAGCCGGAAGAACTTTGTTGCAGAATTCTGAATTCCTCGGTGGCGAGAAGGCGCTGGGAGTGAAGGCTGGGCCTGGGTCTAGGCCTCCAGTAGGCCCAGCCGAGGTCCGGAAGCAGTAAGCTTACAGCCTGAAGGGGAAAGGAGCGAGCCCAGGGCCTGGCTCCTGCGGGCTCGCTGTTTGGCAAGCGGTGGGAAGCCTGGATCTTGAGTGCCGCGCTGAGGATTTGGGGTCCGGAGGAGTGGGATGCTCTGGAGTTGTCCTGTTGGACTGCTGGGTCCTACCGGGTAGTGACAACGGGAGAAAATAGAGTCATTCTGGCCTCTCGCTGTCTCTTTGTTTCTCTCCGTATCTCTGTCTCTCACACAGATACTTGCTCTTAGTTTCTCCACGGCCCCAAATCTGGCCTGGACCCCCTAACCCTAGGCCTGGCGCTGCCGTCCTGGGGTGCCGGCTAGGCGGGACCATTGACATGCAAACAAGCGACTTGTGGTGGTAATGGCGCGCACTCTCAGGCCCCTCCGCCGGCTCCAGGGGTGACGGGGTGCTTGCCCTGGCCTTTCTTTGGTGCCCAGAACTCTGGCGGAGGCGCTGAGCCCGCAGGCCCCAATCTGCACCTCAAAGGCGCCCTCGGCGGGAATACAACAACAGTTTAGCAGCTCTGGCTGGTGCGGAGCCGGAGGTCGGCGGGGTGCGGAGCAGCGAGAGGGGCTGGTTGAAAAGATGAAGGGCCTCTGCCTTCCCCAGGCCGCAAACTGAAAGAAAGAAAGCGAAACAAGAGTTCCTCTAAACCCGCGGTAGCGCAGTGTAGGGGTGGAAAATCCATGCTCCCAGGCCTGGGGTTTGGCCTACAGATCATGCTCTGCGTCTGCTGCCCCGGCTGGGAAGGTGTCAGTCCTGCCAGCGGCCCATCTCCCCACTTAAAGTGAACCCCGGGGCAACCCCAGAGGGCGAGTGTGCCCGCACGAGAGCTGACCC